GGAATGTGCTAATTTTCCATAAAAAGCACCCAAGGCAATTTTTACACCTCAAGGCTACTCCTGTCTCTACCTGGAGGCTCCCAAAACTCATTCCCATAAAACCAGCACCAGGAACACCCCAATATTCGCCATTAAATTGTTAATATGAATTAATTCTCTGTGTTTTCTCTTGCAGTAAAGCCTGACCCTCCCCAGTGTCAGTACGTGGCCACCAATGGAACAGTGACCTGGACATATCCCAGAACCTGGAGCACCCCAAACTCCTACTTCCCTTTGACTTTCAAGGTCAAAGTTAAAAGACAAGCAAAGAAACACAAATACCAGGTAGAAACACAATTTTCTTGCTTGAATAGTATAAATAATTTCAGTTTTGTATGCAAGAATAATGAGCTAAAATAAAAAAAAAAAATTAAAATTAAAATAAGGTGCTGAGCCCCCAAAAGCAGCAAATTCTACCCTGGCAGGAAAAACCTTTTCCAGGTCCATGAGCAGGAAGATCCCTGAGGCAACTGAGGACAGAAAATCCTGTCCAGCATTGCACAGTTGTGTTTACTAATTCATTAGGAGGCTGAGGAGGGCCTGATGTGGGAAAATCCCAATTTCCAAACCCAGAAGCCCAGCACCTGTGACACGAATTTCCTTGTGTGTTGTTCACAGCTGGGTAGCTCAGAATTTAGAGGTGAATTGGAAATCAGAAATCAGTCACTCCTCTGGGAGCATTTCTATGGATTCTGGTCTTTTCCCCCTTGATTCCCAATTAATTAATGAAATTAATTCACAGTGTCAGGGTTTAATCTGCAAGAGTAACTTGGACACAAAACTTGGCTTGGAAAAGAACTGGGAAAACCACAGAGCCCCAGTGCTGCCCTTCCCCACCCAGCACTGAGGAGAGCAGACACATGGAATGGTTATCCCAGGTTTATCCCAGGTTTATCCCAGTTTTTCCAGGGGATTAAACCCGGGAATTTTTCCTGCTGGGGAATGATCCAGGCCGGACCAGCAGATGGGGCTCAGTCCCTGATTTCAGCAGCGTTGGCTCCTCCACCCCTTCGGGAGGGAAATGCCAGGGCTGGGGATGCTCCTTGTGCCCCATCATGAGCAGGAGCAACTTCTGCTTTTTGGGATTCCCACTCTGGGAGATGAAGGAAAAGGAGAAAAACACAAATAAACAAACGACCCCTTTGTTTAATGAGTGTTTAGGTTTGGGGTTTGGGTATTTAGAGCACCAAGCTCACTGGGTTTGGGTCACTTTGGGACATCAAGCTCAGTGGGTTTGGGTGATTTGGGTTTGGATCTCTTTGGGACAAACCCCTCAAATGGGTTTGGATTATTCAGAGCATCTCCCTCAGTGAGTTTGGGTTTTTTAGAACACCTCCCTCAGTGGGTTTGGGTCATTTAGAGAACCAAGCTCAATGGGTTTGGATCACTTTGGGACCCCTCTCTCAGTGGGTTTGGGACACTTTGGGACCCCTCTCAGTGGGTTTGGGACACTTTGGGAC